ATGACTCTTCTTTCTGCTCCTTTTCGTTCATTTCTTGTTAAATTTGCTGGATTGGATATCAGAATCCAAATATCAGTTCAGCTGATATCCTGACATTTTGGACATTTGAACTGATGTAATAAGAGAATTTATGGGTGTATTTGGCCTAGAAAATGTCAAGGTCTTTGTATTTCTACTATACAAAGCTCTTCTATAGGTACTTATTTAAGGAAATAAATGCTACTTTCAGTCTCTGCATTGGTATCAGTTGATATTTTGGCATCGTCAGAGACTTAAATCCATAGTATCGAAATCTGTATTGGAAGCAAAAAAGCTGGATCGGTGCATCCCTAGAAAAAGTCCTTTTATTTATGATCATATTTGTATTTAGCTACATGGAAATCCATTAAATCGTGCTTCATTGCAACATTTAAACATGTAAAATGAGCGGAAACTGTGTGTAGTTTTGTCAGGGATGTTCTTGGTCCTGGAGTGAGTTTAATAATAAGCTTTGAAGATAACAGTCTCAAAGGCAGAGATAGCTTATCTGAGACTACTGTGTGAACTCTGACTCAAACCAACACTGTCATAGAGCACTCATACGACTTATTTCTTTAAAAAGATAAGAATATGTGTTTATGCTACTCCACGTGTTTGCTTAAAAATACCGAGTGTAGGTTCATGTTCTGAGGTGTTTTATAGAGAAAACTTGGAGGGGTAGTGAAAATTGAGTAGAAAGTGCTTGAGTGCTGAAGGAAACAGGAGGAGGCCTAAAGGATGACCAAAGAGGAAATTTGTAGATGTAGTGAAAGAGGGCAAGATGTTTGTGTGAGAGAAGACTGTTGGATGGAGCAGAGGATGCAAAGGAGAGGGTCAGACAGTGCAGAGGAGTCAGTATAGTTTTGTTGTAGTAGTGGTAGTAGGTGTGGTAGTGATTGTATTAATAGGTGTATTATTTGTGGTTATATCTGTTTGTTAATACCTGATCTCGTCAGACCTCAGACGCTAAGCAAGCCCAGGCCTGATACTGATAGTACTTGGATGGGAGACCGCTGGGAATACACGGTGGCAAGTGGCTCTAGTGCAACCTGCTGTTGTGTCCTTAGGCAAGACACTGAACCCATATTGCTTAGAATGACTGTAGTATATACATGAGTGTTGGGGGCCGATGGTGCAGATTAGCAGCCTTCCTTCTGTGTTCTGGGCAGCTCTTAGTTCTTTGGATTAAGTCTTGTCAAGGCATTTTAAGAGGAAAAAGTAGTACATTCACAGTTTTGTTAGCCTCCACAAAATATCACAATAAATATCTTACTGTGAGGTTCATACTGTGACGATATTGTATCGTGAGACTTGGATATCGTTACACCCCTTGTAAGCATGCTCTGTCTGAGGCTTTGTTGGAGTTTAATCTGAGCTTTATTTGAACACAATCTCACCAGAAATAACTGACTTAGCTGGAACTACAGCAGGATATCTGATCTGTTGTACTACTCTCATCTTTTAGTGGAAAACACCATAACAGGACCACCAACGCTTGTATTGATCACTCCTGAAAAACGTGTTGCTTAAATCAAACAATCTAAAATCTTTCTTGGCTATGTTTACTAATGTATGCATTGTTTCTCCATGGTAACTGGTGAACATTCCACCAGTGCACATACATGTAGAACATCCCCAGAGTCATGTCACTGCAAAGCATCAATACTATCAATGCAGTATTATTATTATTATTAGTTGCATCTTATTGGTAGAAGTAGCAGCAACATTAGTAATAGTCTAGATTGTACTTTAGTGATAGTTATAGCAGTAGTAGTGGTAATGGTCAGTATGCCTGCAGCTGTGGAGTCTTGTTAAACTTTGGAGCAGACCAGCAGATCATTGTCCTTGTACTTACTCTTGTTAAATTCTCAATTAAAATCCAATCGTCCCGTCACTAAAATCTTACACAACGTCTAAAGGGCAGATGGTGGCAGCTCTGGTGGATTTCAGGAGCTGAGGAGGAGCGCAGGGTCTCATAAAACAGATAAGATATGACGCAGAGGTGATGGTCAATGATTATGTTATCTTGTGTTTACGACGCACTAAAGATCACACTCTGTAAAGATACTGTCCACGACTTCAGTGTGTCAGACCGGAGGGGAGCTTTCTGCAGTTTATTTGTCTTATCGACCATTTTTATTTGGAATTTACAGGTTTATATTACACAAAATCGATTCTTGTGAGCTTTGAAATGTTATAATGCTGTTAGCGCCTTAAAAACAGACCTGGAGAGAGAAAAACTCAGCCTAATAATGCAGGATTTGTGTGTTAAATATGTGAGAATGAAACAAAACACAACTCCAGGTCTGTTTTTGATGAGGAAACAACATTATAATTTAGATCAGAAAATAGCGTAATATGGGCCTTTTAAATTTTAGCAATAGGACACATTAGTTAACATACTGTATGACTAGGCTTGTTACAATAAATACTATATCAGATAATACTTTTTGGAAGTCAGTATTTATCATTGGGACTTTTTCTTTGCAATAGTGGGAAAATGTTGGTTATTTTTATGCACTGTGACATAAGATTTGAGCCGAATAAATTATTTTATAAACACAGTTTTATTAAGTGTTTATTGCAGCTCATTTTTAAAACAGTATTGTACACTTTGAATACTTTTTGGGGGATAATTCTGCTTTGGATTTTTTCAGTCTTATCATTTATTGTGTTTATTTTTGTTCAGAAATACAGTGTTATTGTGACAGGCCTACATATGGCTCATTACAGATACGTTAGAACACGGGTGTCAAACATAATCAGATCCGGCCCTCCAAGATCTTTAATCTGGCCCTCAGCTGATTTTCTACTAAAATATTTTAATTATATTTTCTATTAAAATATTGTTAATTTTCTGTGGTGTTTATCACAGCAGCGTCTCCAGCGTCTCTGTGCGTGGCCCCTCCCACCAGAGCAGCACAAATGAAGACTTGTCTCTTTCCAAACGCTCTTAAAGGACGATCGTTTTGACTGTTGACCGTGACACCCTCATCAAAAAAATGTCCAACATGAGAAAAGTGGAGCTGAGTGCAGGATTTTCCAACAAAAATTGACTTATTCCTATTTGCATACAAGTTCATGTTAAAACATTGTGTTGAAATTGTATTTTTCTTAAAGTTTCAGGTTGTTCATAATATTATAATATTTTGTAAAAGAAAGTGCATCAATTAAAAAAGATTTCTGTAATAGATTTGTGTTTCTCTGCACAAATATTTGAACTTATTGTTATTTTTGGGGTTTATATGACATGAGTTTTCTGATCCGGCCCCTTTGGGATCAAAGTAGGTTGGATACGGCCCCCAGACCAAAATGAGTTTGACACCCCTGCGTTAGAATATTTCTTTGTGCTCTTATTGTTGGTTTTAAATCCAATATGGTTCATTTACATCAGACATGTCGGACTCAGGCCCGGGGGCCAAATTTGGTCCACAATATAATTATATTTGGCCCGTGAGCTTATTTCAAAAATGTATTAGAGCTGGCCCTCCGTCTGCTGTGCCAGTATGGAGCATGCACCGCTATTACTACTACTACTACTACTACTACTACTACTACTACTACTACTACTACTACTACTACTACTACTACTACTACTATTACTACTACTACTAATAATAATACTAATACTAATACTAATACTTTGATGAACTTGTATCTATGAAGAGATGCCAAGTATTTGTATCTGCTTTGGTGCCATGTACGTCAGAGTAAATCACAGTCTAGTTTTCTTTATGATTTTTGACTGTTCATAGTTGAAAGAACGATTTAAAGGAGTTCAAAAGCTACACATAAGCTATAGAGAAAATGTTGTTATTATTTTATGTTATGCTTTTTCTGGATTCAATATTTAAGCAAAACTATTATTAAACATTTATTTAATAAGAAAAGATTTAACATTACCTATCTCGAAAGAAGAGAATACATACAGATGTTGTTGAAATGTTTTAATAAATATTTAGTCCCAGTTTTTAATTTTGGCCCTTTGTGAATTTGAGTTTGACACCCCTGATACTCTCTGGGATTATCCTGCTTTAGGGTTATTTTGACAGTGACATCAAGTGCTTTTCATTATTATTGTGTCATATGATATTTTCTGACCTAAAAAATGTCCCCAGTAACTTTATTTAGAGTCATCTGCTTTATCAACAATCCAAAATGTTAAGCAATATTGATAGTTCAGTGTGTAACTTTTTGGATGCAGGGCCCACCACTTGCATTTATTTAATTACAGGTGTATTTGCTGCTAAAATACATTTGTTACTGTGAGTGGGTTCAACTCTCCACAGATCTAATGTGTAACTTGGCCTTGTTCTTGGAGGTTCTATGACACATTAAGCAAACAGATGGCGAAACTTCCAGCAGTAATGTTACATACTGCACATTTATGGTCACTGCTGATTGGAAAACAAAAAAAGCAAAGAGCAATATTTACCTTTTCCACTTTGTCACTGGATTTAAATGAGTAAAATGCAAAAGCTGTGAGACTGTTGTGGTAAAACCCAACATGGCACCAACTTCTGCATTTTACTTCCAGTTCATTTCAATCAATTATTTCACAACTGTTTCCAAGTACTGTACGTGGAGAAATGCAAAACAACGTGCAATTAAAAAGGATCTTTCTCGTCATTTAAAGGTGCTTTGTGTAACTTTTCTGGGGGAGGCCCGTCAAATGCTTTTCTTCATGGAGATGTTGTTGCTTTGTCTGGAATTTTTCACAGTGTTGTATTAAATCTTTCTATCTTCATGGAAACCACAACTGACCAAGTTACAAGTCCGATCTGTGGAGATGTTTTTCTAGGTATTTTTGAGCTATACAACCACCTGTAATGTAATAAATGTATGGTATAGTACACATTAAAGCAAGTGACAGACCCTCCACCAGAAAAGTTACTCAATGCACCTTTAAGTAACAGTGAAACTACAATAATTATAAGATGAACTTTGACTCATGTGGTTGTTTTGTGTGTGTTCTCCTTCAGCTGCCCCTGTCCAACAGTCACTTGGACGTGTACACTGCTCCGGGGATGAAGGGCCCGGGCATTGCCATGACCAGTAACTCTTGCCCTGCCAACCTCACCATCAAACGAGAGCTGTCAGGTGCGGAACACATTTTAAATTATACTGCCGCCTGAAGGAAATCTGCTATAGTCTATCAAAAGACTCTTAAGCTACATTCAGACTGCAGCCTGAAGTGACCCAAATCTGATTTTTTGGCCCCTATGTGACCTGTATCTGATCTTTTAATGACAGTCTGAACAACACACATCCGATTTTTTCAAATGTGACCCAGGCCACTTGGATATGTGCTCCTAAAACCGATACATATCTGATCTTTTGACATGCGACTTCAGTCTGAACGGCCAAAGTGCATTCATCCGACCTACACGTTATCAACAAGCCACAAATGTCACTATTCTGCGCTGAAGTAGGCAAAAATTGTTAATGAACTCTGTGTCACTGAAGTGAAGCACATCGCCCCTCACCACTCTTGGCTACGTCTCCACATCCACACGTTCCTTTCAACGGACGTTGCTGCCACTGCCCCACAAAACGCCACGGCCAAAAACCTCGTCCTTCTCAATCTCCTCCTTAAAACAAGTAAGTTGTACATGTTCTGGCTCCGGTACAAGAGGAACTTTAAAATCTCCAGGTGCTCAATGCTCGCCTCCATGTTTGGACAACTTCCGTAAACACAGAGCACGCTCGCTGCGGTTGACATCATCGTGTCCTCCAGTGCGCATGCAGGACACTTTTGGGCCGTTTAATGTTCACACAGGGGATCACATACAAGTCACATTTAATTGGAAATGTGAACGACCTCGCAAAAACATCGGATTTCACAAAAAAATCCGAATTGAGCGTTAAGCCCTGCAGTCTGAATGTAGCCTTAGTAACACTGGTACTTTTTAAAATGTGTTTTGCAATTTTGTGTAATTTGTTATTGTTACAAAACGTTCCACTTTACTGCTTGCATAATTATGTTAACTGTTTCTCTTTCGGTTCGTTCCTCTCAGTTAAAGCCACATCTGAAAGTTTATTTGATTTTTTTTAACCAGTAGATGGCAAATGTAAAATGTGAAGCTTGGCTAAAAAGTAGAATACTGTGCCTTTAAAGACCCAGTGGCGACAATATATTTTGGATTTTGTAGTGCACAATAAACGCTTTTGCGATTTGCTATCAATTATTATTCCATTCCGTTCCACATATACTCACTCTCCCTCCTCAGTACATTTCCAAACCAAGTTCATTTATAAACATCTCTTAAACATCTAACATGATCTGTCCAAATGATGAATTCTTCTTAATGCCGTCCACCAGGCTTCACATTACGGGCTGAAGTAGTTGTGGCTTGTTTGTTGATATCTTTTTGTTTTTGCAAAGACGCAGAAGCCCGAGCTCTGGCCAAAGAGAGACAGAAGAAAGACAACCACAATCTCAGTAAGTCCATTATTTTTACGTACTCATTTTCACTTTGACTGATTTTATGTCATGTATGTAAATGAAATTATTTTGAATTTAGTCTATTATGGCCAGCCACAATAGACTTTATTTTTTTATTTTTTTATTTGGGGTGACAAACAGCTAGAAAAAGATTATGTTTAATCGTTACCATTTATACAATTGAATAGTTAGATCTTTCATGGTTGAAATCAAATGCTCATGCAGCACAATGATCAGATAAATACATTTTCAGACAAACTGAGATAACAAAAAGCAGCTGAAGGCCTTTTGAATTAATATTCTCACAGCAAAAGATGTTCATTTTGTCTTCTTATATACTTTAACTTCTTGGGTTCTTTTTAAAGACAATGCAGTAAAGTGTGCAAGCCATCTTCAGAACTGTTCTGAAGATGGCTTGCAGCTAGCAGCCGAAACATGTCAACAAGGTAAACACACTTTTCTGCATTGTCTTTAAAAAGAACCCAAGAAGTTAAAATATAATATTCTCACAGTTTTTTCCACAAAATTCCTACATTTTATTATATCAAACATCCATTAGTCATGATTATTCTACTTATTTTTGCCCTACAGGAAGAATTCCAGACAGAGGTCACATGAACACAAAATACAAGTTAATAAACAAAATACAAGTTAATAAATGTATCAAAGAGCCAGATTTGTAAGACAGAGCAGTGCAGTGAGTCACTTTTGAATCGAATCAAGATCAAATAGTTTCAAATAGTCAGTGATCATCTTCTTGGGTCGTTTTGTTGGAATATGGTGACTTATTGGGTGTAGTCACAAATAGAAAACATTTTTTAGAAAAATTTCACAAATTCTGAATTTGTGAATTTACCTTTTGGACATTTCATAGGAAAGTATAATGTAATCAGCAGAGAAAAGCGGCTTTTGTTCACCATCTTGGACATGGTCGTCACATTTTGAATTCTAAAAATGATCCATTATGTGAAATTGGGTTATCAAAAGTATTGAGAATCAGATACTAATCAATGCTAAAACTAGTATTGAAACTAGGTATTGATTTAAGAAGATATCGATAATAAAAAAATCACATTCATAGGACAGAAATGAACCTTTAAAATGATCTTGAGCTGTATCAGAAAGTATAAGAGCACACAGACTTTGCCCATGGACCATGTGTAACTTTTTTGTTGGAGGGTCCGTCAAATCCTTGTTATTCCACAGTCTTACATTAGACATATCTATCTCCAAAAAAGTGACAGCACCAAGCCAAGTTACACACCCGATCTGTTTTTTAAGCAGTAAAAACACCTGTAATTTTTATAAATGCAAGACAGATGTGGAATATTTCTAGCCTGATTCATCAGCCGGTTTCACTTTTAGAAACCATCTGACCTCACAGTGTTAGAATTCGTTTGGTCGACTGTAGGCGGGTACTTTTTATCATTCAACCAATTGCTGCTATTTGGTCGTGATGTATGTAACGGGGCTAACTGGTATATTAAGGTTTTCCCAAATCCTGTAGGAAGAAGGGCAATAGCGCCTTTCCCCTTGATAAAATGAACCAAACATTCCCTTTGTTACAGCTTTAAATCCTCGATCTCAGGAATCGTTGCCCACACAGAATGTATGGCTCTTTGCTGATTGGCTGGTGCCTGAACTTGCACTTCCGGGATTTTTGCGAACCATCCAACCATAGAGTATTCTGATTCCTGACCTAGTCGCTAGACAGAAATTAAATTGAGCGGAGGCACTAGGTGGCGCCAACCTGGCTAGAACATTTCAGGCAAAGTATTAAAATCTCCATGAAAAAAAAAAAAAAATGACAGACGTTTCACCAGAAAAGTTACACAATGCATCTTTAAAGGAAGTACTATTATTTAATGTTGAAGATCAGAGTCACAGTCTAAATATAGTTTTTTATTATTGTGGTATCGGAATCAATATCGAGTATCAAGTCTATTCCTTAGTACTGATTTTGAGTTTGAAATTTTAGTATCATAACAACACTAATATGAAATAAACTGAAACAAATGAGTAAGAGTGAAGCCACATTGAAATGCTTAGTCCAGATGAACCCTGCTCTGGTGTGATCCTCTATAATCCGTAGTGAACAGTTCTCGTCTTTTCGCTGACTGCGAGAAAGTGTGGGTGGATGTTTAACCTGAGTGTTTCTGCTGCTCTGGCACTCAAGCCTAATCACCTGCGACCGCACATAAAGCTTTATCACTTTTTAAAGACGCTTCAAGGAACATTGCACCATTTTGTAATCCATTATCGCCATGGTACTTTACAAAAACAGTCTACAGTCCATCCTTCTGTAAGGGTATAATAATAGGCCTGCATGAGTTTGAAAATATATATTTAATTATGTTTTTTCTACTGATAAGTACTGTGATAAGTTGTGTGTAATTTAATAGTAACATTCTGTTCAAAGTGCACATTTTAACCACACCTAGGTGCATTAATATTGAAGAGAAGTAACACAAGAATCATGTGCATTTGAGAACTTTTTCGATTTGATTGCAACATATACTACAGCTCTCCTTGCAAATAAAGTAAATAAGACAAAAATAGAACATATTATTGATGTTAAAGGTTAAGAATGGACATTTATTGAATGTATGTACATGTATTAAATAGCCCATTTTACTATATTATTAAGAAAAAACATGTATAAGTCACACTGGACTATAAGTCGCACTTTTTGGGGGAAATTTATTTTATGAAATCAGAGACCAGGAACACTTCATTTCATTTCATCTTGAAAGGTAAGTTACAGTAATAATAATAGAACAGAGAACAACAGAGTGTTAACATCACATATGAACAGTTCAGATAACTATAGTATAAACAACAGAACAGAACAAGTTTACCAAACTCTGCATCTCACTCCAAATCACTAAATCCATTCAATTCTTCATCCTCTGTGTCACTTCTGAGCAACTCCACGACCTCTGGAGGTAAACAGAGCACCGCTTCCTCTTCTGTGTAGCTGTCGTCAGACTCAGCATCAGTTCCAGTTCCAATTATTCTGGCCTTTCTGAATCCTGACAGGATAGTTTCGGTTGTCACTGAAGTCCAGGCTTTGTCCATCCATCCAGTGACTTCCAGGAAAGTTGCATGGTGCACTCTCCCAGTTGCCATGAAGCTGTTCTCCATCCCTGCTTTCCGCCAGTCCCTTACAAGTTTCTTGCTCACTCTAAACTTTTTTTCTGCTGCTCAATTACCATTTTCGGCTAAAAATTTCACTACTTGCAGCAGGACAGCGCAGTAGAGGGCGAAGTGACAGTGGTACTGGAGTAGAAGATACTGACACACAGTCCTAGAGCCTCTAGCGGCTGTCAGTGTGAACATTTTAATATATAAGTTGCACCAGAGTATAAGTCACAGGACCAACCAACCCAAGAAAAAAAGTGCGACTTATCGTCCAAAAAATATGGTACCCTATTTTCTGATCTATGCTATAAATCTTATTTTTTTGTTTTTATTTCTTGTGTCTTGCAGTTGAGCGAAGGAGGAGATTCAACATAAATGACCGCATCAAGGAGCTGGGCACAATGATCCCCAAAACCAATGACCTGTAAGTGCCTGTTTGATTGCTAGTGTTTAAAGGACCCATATTATGCTGTGTTCTGATCAGAAATAGACCTGGAGTTGTGTTTTGTTTTATGTTTGCATTCACACACATGTTTAACACACAATCTCTGCATATTTAGGCTGAGTTTTTCTCTTGAACTGAAAACACTCTGTTCCATCATGTGGTAATACAGAAAGTGCTCCACTGTGTTTTTAAACTCCATCATTTGAATAATTTCAACCCTGGAATTGCCAGTCTCTACTGAACTAAAGGTAAAACGTAGCCATTAACTTGAAGCTACTTCTTCATGACGTCACAAAGTGGAACAGAGCATTTTGAGCTTTGCAGATGTAGATAAACTAATAATAAAGAGTTACTCAAACATGTGTGAATGGAATAAAGCACAACTCCAGGTCTGTTTTTGAGGAGGTAACAACATTCTAACATCACTTAAAGCTCACAAGAGTCCATTTAGTGTACTATATGATCTTTAATATACACACAATTATGACACAGCTATGACTGGACTGTCCGTTAATTCTTTTTGTATGTTTGTATGTGTGTGTAGGGACGTGCGCTGGAACAAAGGCACAATCCTGAGGGCTTCGGTGGACTACATAAAGAGGATGCAGAAGGACGTGCAGAGGACCAGAGAGGTGGAGAACAACTATAAACGAATGGAGATGGCCAACAAACAGCTGCTGCTTCGTATACAGGTCAGTACTCACACTCAAGGCTAATATAAGGGGGATTCACAATGATACTGGGTAAAGGCACAGTGTGGAACTTTCTGAAGGTAGGTGTCTGTGTAATACTTGAGACGTCCAGGTAGGATACATAGCAAAAGAAAATAGCATTACTAAAGTTTTAGAGTGAAGACATTTTGCTACTTATTAGAGATGTAACAATAACCGAAATATTATGATATTGTATCGTCAAAGTTCTCACAGTAATATCGTGGACCATCACAATATATCGAATTAGAAGTCTCTTTGCTTAAATTAAGAGTTATGGTGCAGCAATAGCTAAAAGAAGACAGAGAGAACTACATAGACCATGATCCTTTGCTCTATTTCAGTTTAGACTACATGAAGAAATAACAGTTCTAAGCACTTATAAGTCTTAGTTCTTTGGATTAAGTCTTGTCAACCTCCACAAAATATCCTAATAAATATCGTGCTTTGAGATGTACATCGTGAAAATATCATACCGAGAGAACTGGATATTGTTACATCCCTAGTCCTGAGCTTTCCCCACAATATCGCAATAAATATCGTACAGTGAGGTTCATACCGTGACGATATTGTATCATGAGATATCGTTACACCCCTACTACTTATCCAAGTGACTTTTTCAGTTAAGTCACCTGTATGATTCCATGGAAATAGAAAGTTAAAACCAAACCGTAGAAGATTCTCCATGGATATAGATATGTTTTATGCCATGCTGTGGGAGATTATAGCCAAAAGAAATACAGTTCCATGGACACAAACAGGAGGAGGCTGCCCTCTAAGCCACTGTTTCCCAAAGACTGGTTGGGTCTCCTTGTCACGATCTGCATGTAGGTTTGCAATATACAGTTCTGACACATGAGAGAGCGAGTGAGTCAGCAAATCCTATCTCCCTGCTCTGATCGATTGTTCCTGTAGCTAAAGTTGAGAAATGCTTGCTTGGTTGTCCAAAAAAGAATGAGATAATTCAGCAAAGGTCAGTGTACTTCAGGCAACTAATGGAGACCTTTTATTGCTGATTCAATTATTATTTTTCATTGTTTAAAACTTGAGTAATACTAATTGTTCAAAGAGACACTTTCACTCAATCAACAATAAAATATCCTTTATTTTGTGATTTACAAATAATGTCTATTGACTTGGGTCGCAAAGGATTGTGACTTTTCAAATATGGGTCCCCAGAAAAAAAGTTTGGGAAAGACTGGACTAGGACAAGTAAGACTCGGGTTTGTGGAGCTATGAGCCCACTGTAAGGATGTTCTATATTTTTCAGTGCAATAAACACAACCAAATGTTTTTGTTTTTGTTTGGTTTTTTTTTTGCTAAAAAGTTGCATAATGTGGCTTTAAGTTGACGTAATGGCCATCAATTATATTTTTGCTTGTATAAGAGGGATCTTAAGTTTATCATCACTGAAACTTCGCATGATTGGCTTAGTTATGTCTAGAATTTGCCCTTAATTTGGTCATGCTATTATATTGGCCTTAAAGCTACCAGTTGTAACTAGATTGGCCAACCCATCCCTGTTGCATTCTCACATTTCACCACTAGATGATGTCTGTGTTACTGCTGTCTGATAGTGTGTGGGCTTAGAACAGATGATGGGAGGGGGAACAGGTTTCATATCTGCCATCTACTGGTGAAAAAAAAAAAATCTCATAAACATGCAGACGGTAGCTTTAAGTGAGTACTGAAAGCTTGTTGTCATACGTTATATTGACTGGAGCTGTCTTTTGTGCACAGGAGTTGGAGATGCAGGCTCGCCTCCACGGCCTCCCCAGCTCCTCCCCCTCCGGCCTGAACCCCGCCGATCTCATGGCCAACTTCATCAAACAAGAGACTAGCCCCGACGAGACCCTCTCCCACCCCCACGCGCCGGTACACCACCCCCACCTACCCCACAGCCAACCCCAGCAGCAGGCTCACTATATGGGCTCGCACCTCCACAACCAGCCCCACCACCTCACCCAGCCCCTCCACCACCAGCCCCTCCACCAGCAACAGCCGCCCCCAATTCAGTACCCGGCCGTGGGGAGCTCCCAATATGACTATACCTCCCCTTTGGACTTTGGCGACGGGATGGCCGGGTTCTCTGACGGCATGGGGGGGTTGGGGGATATGGCCGGAGTAGATGCCCAGGGAAGGAGAGGCGACCTGGGCTTCTTGATGATGGATGAGCCCCTCTCGCCCATGGGTGGAGATCCGCTACTGTCCGCCATGTCTCCCGAAGCGTCCGTGGATTCGAGCCGGAGGTCCAGCTTTAGTATTGACGATGGAGATATCATGTAGAAGTCACATCAACATGCAAAAAATAAACATATTGAGCCATAGGCCGGCCACTTTATTAGGTACAGCTCGTAAATGCAAATATTGAAACTCGGCAGCGAAATTTTATAGACTTCAGTTGGATTTTCTAAAGAAATGACACCAAAGCTATATACTGGCCACTTTATTAGGTACACTTTCTAAAACTTGTCTATTTTTTCATTTCTGATTTTTTTTAAAACTAAACCAGGACTAAACAAGGACTACATTGGGATAAAACCAGTGCCAAAATTAAATCCCGAAGAACTGCTGAAATCATGTCACATCACATTTGAGACACTTTTCGCCGTCTTTCTTTATATATATATATATATATATAGTATTTGTTGTTTTGGGATTTGATTATGTCTCTAAAATTGCATTTGCATTATTATCTTTGTCTTTTAAATAAAAAAAATAATGTTGGCTGTGA